CCATTTATTGCCCCAGACGGTACTCACACTCAGAGGATCGAGTCCCAGTGGAGGGCTGTCAAAAGATATTTCAGAAAAGATAATTATAACCATCCGCACGATTTTGCAGATTCGATTGTAGAATATAGAAAGAAACATAATTAAATATAAAAAAGACGCGTTTTTAGAAACAATTAATGCCATAAAACATGTATACAAAATAAATTAATGTGTAGAATTTCATGCTTTTTATATTTCATATTATTAGTGACAGAACCGAAGTGGGGCGGGGGGGCGCAGCCCCCGCAAGGGGGGCCTGGGGGGGCGAAGCTCCCCGCAATGAATAAAGTCTAAAGAGTTCATTAGGTAAGGTTAGGTTAGTATGATGACCTAAAACGCGCGAGCCGAGCGAGCGGAGCGAGCGTGCCGCGGCAGCGGCCGGCGAAGCGCCAGAAACGACACTTTTGTACGTGCAACGTTTTTTTTTCATACTTTTTCCCCTTTCCCCACCTCGTTTTGGCCTCCCTCCTGCTAAATTTTCATTTTTTTTTGGAATTACCGTTCGAAGAATTGTTTTTCGACGAATTGTTTTTTCGATGAATTGTGTTCGAAGAATTCGATGAATTGTTTTCGATCAATTTTCCGCAAATCAGTTGCAATACCCCAACGGGGTCATGTACCACTCTCTATTAAGTATGTAAGACCTTATAATAAAAAATGTACATGAGCAATGTGATTTAAATAAATAAATAAAAAAAAAACGGGCCTAAGTGTAAATGAACGGAGTCGAGTACACCCGAATGCGGGTAGTTTTCCTTTTGTTTACTCGACATCATCTTCTAGCCCATATTCCAGTGTAAATATTGCTTAAAATGTAATAGGGATGATGACAATTTTTTTTCTTCGTTTATCAGGTAGATTATGAAAAAGCATCGGACACATATTTTTTCCTTTTTCACAATAATATAAACATTGCAGGAGCTCGATGGCGCAAGTGGTTAGCGCGTTCTGCAGCGTTCGTTGAATTTAAGCAACTTTCGCAGTGGTCGGTCATTGGATGGGTGACCGAAAATTTACTATCTCGAGCTCCTCCGTGCTTCGGAAGGCACGTTAAGCCGTTGGTCCCGGCTGCATCTGCAGTCGTTATCACCCACCAACCCGCACTGGGCCCGCGTGGTGGGTCATTTCCCGATCTCCCTACTCCATACATAAGGAAGCCTGTGCCCCAGCAGTGGGGACATTAATAGGCTGATGATGAAACATTGCAGAGACATATTGATTTGAAAAGACGCATGACGTCACGTTTTGGTACAATTTTCACTTAAAAGTGACGTCACGAGCCCCTATTCCCAAACCTTGACGCGCTATAACTTCGTCATTTTTTGGTTGATTAAACAAAGAAAAAATACGTGTCCATTATTTATTTATCATCTGACTGACGGACTAAATAGAATTTCGTTTACGTTACCCCGTCATCACCCCTATTGCGGCATTATTCATTAAATATTCATTAACTTAAAGCATGTCTATATAATAACATACGCTTACGACACTAAACTTGTTTACTTGTAAATCTGGTGCGAGTTGTTATTAATTCGTATCAACATTTCTATTTAATTTGCATAACGACAGGAGTAGGTACCTATTGTACACTTTGCTGATACAGCTGTTATCGGTTGAATAGAAATCTCAAGTAACCTTAGACGTAGGTAACAAACTATGTGTTATCAACGGTTATTAAGATAAAATTTAATGCGCATTCTGTTAATTTGAACTAATAATGCTTAACGAAGAAGGCGCCGCTGTGTCTGTGCTCTGCAATATAAGAACAATGGCTATGGTCATGCGCAGGTGTGGGGACTTACGTGTTAGTCATATAGAAACATTCTCCCTTGTTATGCCACTAATATTGTACTTAATTATAATCTTCATCTTGACTTTCACTAATAAGGATATAATAACATTGCTCAATACTCTGTAATAGCTAATTCTTGGGATGAGAACTATAAAGGAATTAGTCTCAAAGACACCATTTTTTTTATTGGTTTTTTAAGTCACACATTGATTATACATAAAAATATCTGCCAAACTATTATAATAGTTTGACTAACAATGTGTTACTTATGTTAAACAAAACAAGTCAGTAGTAACTATTATAAAAATACATCATATTATTACTCTGCAAACCTTTATACCTATATAAATAATGATTTATATGAGATTCCGGAAAAAAAACTTCTGTTTACGCGGCCGAAGTCGCAGGTGGCCACTAGTAACATTTTAAGTGTTGAAGTATATTATGTTTAAATCTAAAGAAAAGTTTACTAGAAAAAAAATCCGCGCGGGCCAGGCAGCGGACGGCACTCGAACCAGCACCTTTCGCAATCCGGGCGAATGCACTGACCATTATGCTACCACGGCCCTATTCGCCGCGTCGGAATTTTCCTAGCCTTAAGCTGCAAGGCAGCGCCATCTCTTCGCATTGTAGGTAACCCACAATGTCAACCTATTTTTCGAAGATGATAACTGTTTTTTGTAAACTTTTTTTTTTAATACTTTGATCATTTTTGTAATACTTTGCAAATATTTTTGGAAGGACAACTTATTTCACTACATTAACTACTTATTTTAGCTACATCCGAAATAATGTACATAATTTTATAATACCTACGCGTTTTTATTTAAAATAATGCCTCTTACTAAGTTCAGCGTAGAATGTGGAAGCACAAAGTAGACAGTGGGAGGTACCTACTTTTGTGAGTCGAGTCTGTTAAGTTGAAATAGTTTGCAAAGCGACAGAAACATTGTTCCTTTATACCCCAGAGAACAGCGTTTATACGGGCGTCTCTAGTGTTTGTTACTTAAAAAAAACGACGGGTTGCATGCACTCCGGGAGTGAAGGCAGAAGTGAAAACTTGAATATTAACGTTGTGCATTTTTGATATTTTGGAATGGTTAGGGAATAATTTTACACGAATTGCTTTAATTATCAGTGTAAAAGTACTATCATGTATGTGGTAGAATACAATATTTATTTTTTGCGCTATCGTACAAAAACATGACCATTTATATTACATTAAAAAAGTTTATCTCCCAGAAAAATCAACTTACATGAATCACGTTTAAGCTACATCTATTGTAAAGAAATCAACTTACATGAATCACATTTAAGCGCACCTAGCGACACCTATTGTAAAAAAATGCATTTTCTTCGCAATAAAGCTGCCACGTGGACGTCCTAGATAGAGACTTATTATTATAATACGGTAAAATAAAATATTATTATGTCAACAACCTTTCCAATTTTCTTGTGTGTCATGATGCGATCAGCCCACGTGTTTAACCTGACGCGAGTTTAACATTTTTTACCCATACAAAAAAAATGTACAACGCCGCTAAAGGAAGTTTTCACTTCAAAAACAGTATTAAACCTTTGCAGCGAATAGATATATCCACAACATTAACTCAAATACAAATTAATGATTTCATGGTTCGTTATTGCTGGTCTCTCCTATAATTTGTGTTTACACTTAAGTATTTTTAAATGTACTCCAGACAAGTTCGATTCGGTCTCGCTCATCGAAGGTTCTGTCCTTATGTAGAAATACGCAACCTAAGCAGAGTTGTATCTCTTCTTTAAGTTAACTTAGAAGTTTATTTTTTTTCACAGATTCAAAGGACTGTAAGACATGAGTTGAAAGTTTTAAATTTACTATAAGTTTTATACTATATGTTTTATATATATATATATATATATATATATATATCCATCCCCCTATTACTTATGCACCACTTAATGTTAGATTATTTAAGAAAAGAAGTTTCACTTCAGATGTGTGGTCCGTACACACACTTTTTCTTATTATTTAATTTTTATCAGTGACCTACCCTGCATGTTTGCAGGCATGTAACTATGATAAGTTTTTCACTAAATAGCTGAGCGCTAATCATAATTCTTCATTATGTGCATATTATGATAATTAAACACCTGCGTGTCGAGCCAATTTTTACTACTCAACAATAATTAAAAATAAAATGTTTACATTTGCCTTCCGTAAATTGCTATTAAAATTTACTTTTGTTAACTACATCAGCATTTTAAAACGTTCCAAAGAGCCTGCTACAAAAAAAATATTGTCGTTTTCAGAGCCTGCGCTGAGTTAAGCACAGAGCGGGCGTCTACTCCGCGTATTTGTTTCATATTATTTCATAGTTGCCTGGCGGGTTTCCCGCGCCGCGTTGTTCTATGAAATCAGGAGCTGGCGTACAAAACGGTGTCTATAATTACATAAAATGAAATATTACAGGTGCAGTAAAAAATCGAATGACACACCTACAGAGAGCTTTGAGCGCGGTTTATAGTTTTATTTATTAATTTAATAAATTTGACACTGTTTTGGGCGGTTTTGATTGAAAATGATTTGATATTCAAATTCAGCGGGCAAAAATCATCTGGACTATAAAAAAAAGGATTTTGACTAGATGCGTAATTATACGGTTCTGTTCGCTAGTTTCTCAAATGACATAAAACCTGCACGCGCGCTCCATGCTCCCGCTTAACGCAGCGCAGGCTCTAAAACGGAATGAAGTTCATCATTCAATTGTTTATATTTCAGAGTTTACGGCGTAAACGCCGATACCAACTCATTCAATTCGAAAGCATTCGATCGATTTTCTTTCATATTTTTTAAGTAAGCCCTCAGAGTTCTAGAATTATTAGTGATTACTTTTAGTTTACAATGTTTGTTTCATAGATCTTATTAGCACTGTTTCATCGCTGTAGCGGCAAACTTCTTGGGCAAAACCACAGACATGAAAAACTTGCTTAGACTTTTTTGTATATAAATTTTCTACTGCGCAGGCTTCTGTATCTATGTTCGTTGCTGAAGAAGTTTGCCGTAGTGTATGGGTACCTTACAAAACCTACTAACACCTACCATAAACCACAGAAAGAGGTTTCTATGTTCTGTAATTGGTACCACTGATGCAAATGTTTCGAAGGCAGCATTTCTCGTTTCCAGTGTACGATCAACACCGTTTAGTCGGTGAGTCCTGCTATCGTTTGTTGACCAAGAATGGTCAGTTCATCTATATGAGGACCAGGGGTTATTTGGAAGTGGATCCTAACACCAGGGCCGTGACCAGCTTCGTTTGTACCAACACTGTCGTCGACGAACAAGAAGGCAAACATTTGATCAAATTGATGAAAAAGAAATTCATGCTCATGTTGAATACCGCCGAAGAACCACCACCAGAGGAAGAGGTGAAAGATGTAAGTCTGATTTTCTTTTTTTTCGCACTGTATTTGTTTCTGTACCGAATCTGTATGGAATTTTTTCCGAGTGCATGTAATCAAATGAGAGCTTCCTCACTGAGTCGTTTCAGTACAGATTCTTTAAGCCTGAGTGCTGCCGAACCATTCGACACGTCCGCCCGACGTGACGGCACTATAACAAATGACAAACACCGCAACAAATAGAACGAAACGATACCATGTATGTGTGTTAGTGTATATACATATGTGTAGTATTTTTTTAAATATTTATGTTGTTACTGTTATTGGTGTATCATCATCATCATCATCAGCCTCTTAATGTCCCCACTGCTGGGGCACAGGCTTTCCCTATGGATGGAATAGGGATATTGGGCCATGACCCACCACGCGGGCCCAGTGCGGATTGGCGGGTGCTAACGACTGCAGGTGTAACCGGGACCAGCGGCTTAACGTGCCTTCCGAAGCACGGAGGAACTCGAGATAGAATTTTTTGGTCATCCATCCAATGACCGACCACTGCGAAATTTGCTTAACTACAACGATCGCAGCAGAACGCGCGAGCTCCTCATATTGGTGTATGTTTATAGTTAATCACTTTTTTTATTATAGCCGCATTCCTGGATTTCTTTATGCCTAAAGGTTGAATGGCAGATAATGCTTTTAACGTTAAGTCCGCCTTTTGTCCATTTTTGTAATTATGGCAATAAACTTTAAATAAATAAATACCACACCGAAACAGAGTCGGTCAGTTAGTGATTCATAGTAAAGAATATGTACAGTACCCTTAGGCTAACCAGTATAATAGACAATGAAATTTCGCACTCGCAAAATATTCGAATTAGATATTGGTGCGTGCTAAGGGTGCAGATTTGGTACAGAAACGATAGCGAAATGATCCGATGAGGAAGGCACCTAAGGCATGGATTATGGGATACTAGGGTAACAATGGAAATGCACATAATGATATTCACTAAGTATATTTTTTTGTCCCAGCGGGCTTCGAACCCAAGACCTATAAGTAGGCGACACCTTGAAAACCGTCGTACATACTAAAGCAAGGGCTTAAGGATAATATTATTAGAAGATATACCAGAAATAATAGAAATAAGTTCTCACCTTATCTGGATTTTCCGAAATTGCTATATTTGTTGACAGGCTTTTACTATCTGCAAAATAAAGTATACTTTATAGGTAAAAATGTTAAATGCAAGCGATACTAACCAGTTGCATTCAATATTTTTCTCCCATTCCCAGTCCAGCCGATGTGATATAATAATGCTAAACACTGTTAGTACAGTCCTCAATATCATAAGGCAAAAAAACAATTAGCTTTTCTAAGTTTAAGCACATTTACCTGAATATAATTAACATCCACATATTTAATAACCATTTTTTTTTTCATTACAGCATAATGACCAAAACTTATCAGTGGAAGATCCCAGACAATTGGAGAAAGTAATTCTTCACTTGGTCACAAACTTACCGTCGCCTAAGCCTTCTAACGAAGAACGCGGGGCATCCCCCGATTGCGTGCCCTCAGCCGGACACTTAGCCATCATACCTCCCAAGAAGGAGAGGATAGTTAGCGCCATAAAAAAGATTTACGGTGTCATCAAAAATTTTCCAAAAGACTTGCAGACTGTCCGTAAACTGCGCTTGGGTAAGGCAGACACGACCGATTCTTCGAACGTAGCTTCCAACGCTCTCATCACGACATATCACGATTTACCAACAAGCCACTCACCACAGCTTGCTATAGATACCACCAAACATCTGTCCATATTTATACGGAGTACAAAGAATCCATGCTCTAAATTGCCAAATTTCAGCCACGTTTACCAACGTCAGAATGCGGACAGTAACGGATCTTTGGAGTTGAGCTTGACTAAACGTTCTCCACCTTTACTGATACCAAATGAGACGATAACAACGTTAGAAGCCCCGTCGACCAGTTATTCAGGAACAACTACAATAAGACTCGGAAATAACGTCGATGAGTCAAATCATAACGGTCAAGAAAATTCCATAAAGTATCGTGTGTGTGTACTGCCAACAGGTGAGAATAAGATTTTAAACGAAGTTCATAATGCTTCGGCCAATAATATAACAACAGGAATAAAACGACCCCGAGAAATCGTTGAAAATACAGAAACGGAAGCCGCATCTAAGAAGAAGAATGCTTTTGATAATGTAACGGAACCAACAGCAGAAAATGTGTTAGACGAGACACCACTGTTGGAAAATTTGTTCGATGAAGAACGTAAGTTGAAATGTTGCAACCTACTTGATATATTATTTTAATGTTAATGAGTACATATTTCTGACAATTTATAATGGGATTTCGTTTTTTACAGTTTTCAACTTATCGTATTCGCAAATACACACCACAATAAGTTCTTTGGCGCAAAATCTTGATCCGACTTTCCCTGAGCTGCTGGTAATTTATTTATTTAATTTTTTTTTGGTATTTCTAGTATTTTCTAAAGATTGCAATTAGCGAATAGCTTATTTTAAAACATTTGTGATGACTGCTAAGCGAATGGCAATAGCGATTGTATTAATATCATACTAATCATACTAATATTATAAAGGCGAAAGTGTGTGAGTGTGTATGTTTGATACTTCTTCACGTCTAAACGGCTAGAGCGATTTTAATAAAATTTGGAATGGAGTTAGCTGACACCCTGGATTAACGCAAAGGGTACGTTTTACTGCTGGAAAATATCCCTAATAAACCGCGGTTAACGTAACACCGCGGGAAACAGCTAGTATTGTCATATTAACTAGTCAAACTATACTTATGCTTAACTTGCCTTTATTTAGTTAGTTATTTGTTCCCAATACTTTACAGATATCCGAGGATGTCCAGGATATACTGCATAAGATCGAGGATGGGGCGACTGAAAATCAGCCAGAAACTTAGAACAATAGTACCTAGTTTGATCAAAATGCAATTTTCCTTGCTCATTGCGTGTCATAAAACACACATATTTAATGTACAAAATAGGGTTTAAGGAATAAATTTAAATCAAACGATAATATAATTTAATACAAAATATTTTATGCATGTCAATTTAATAATTTTAATGACTGTTATTAATTATCTTTCTATTGCAAAATTTCATTTCATTCTTTACTAAGTGTATGGTGGTCGAAACTATTGACTTTGCTACCAAATTATTAAACGAAAATATTATATTTAACAAGTAGGTACTGCAGTTTACAGCAACTGTTTATCATTTTGGACCGAATCTGAACTGCAGTGCGAGAGAGTGCAGTTGAGTGTAAGAATAAATACATTTTTTTCGCGAAATTCGCCGGTGTGATTTGATATTTATTTGAAATTCTTGGTCTAATTTTATATCATACCGCGTATTCCGATGTAAAAAGTCAGTTTGTTCTTTACAGAATAGCGCAACTGAATCTGTTAATAATTTTGATCAAATGTATGTATAAATTATTAGAATATAAATACCTACCTTAATAAGGTAATCATATTATGAAATGACTATGTATACATAAACTCGTAAACATATTTAAATTATCATCAAAAATATAGTATTTGATCCTCAAAAAAAAACAATTGGTGTTTTTACGTGATAATTTATAATTTTTTGATGATTATTTAAATATTTTCCTTTCAATTTAAGTATTTTCTCATAAAAAAATACCATGTTTTGTAAATGATTGGAGCCAAAAAAAGGCGCATATTTAGCGACCTAGCAATTTGACTGTGGAACCTCCATGGTTTGTGTGTGGAGGTTTCCACATTATTTTCCAGCCCCTCTAGCATGACCACCGACACGGGATATGATAAAGCGATATATCGGCATTATTTGTCAGACTACTATGGAGTTTGACAGTAGTCTGACAGTTAATGTCGATATATCGCTTTATCATATCCCGTTTCGATGGTCATGCTAGATTGGCTGGATAGGCCCAACGCAGCACTCTGTGTCAAAAACGTAGCTTTGACCTAGCGTAAGCGTCAGTGCAGCGTTGAGTTTGTTACAATTCTATGGCAGCACTCTGACGCAGTCGTCAAAGCAGCTGCGGTGACTATAGGGCATTACTGTAGCACAAGCCTAATCTAGACGGCAACGCAGCATTGATTTTTGTGAAGTTTCTGTAGCGTTGGCTTTGTGACATAACCGTATATTTGTCCAACGTAGGCGTCGGGGAAGATTTGACCTTGTGATAATTAAGTAGTGATGGAGTTATTCTAGTGCAGGTGTCAACGTAGCTTCCCCTCTGTGACAATACTGTAGCATTGATCTACCGCTGGCGAAAATTCAGTACGTTTATTGACGATTCGACGGCAACGTCAACTCATAAACTTTACGGCAAAAAGTCAACCGGTGTTGACTTAGTGACAATACTGTAGCATTGGATAATGTAGGTAGTCATTAATGTAGGTTATTGTTAACTGTACGAAAAAAAATGTAACATAAATCAGTTGTTACGTGACGAATCAATAAGAATTTTCAACATAACTTTTAACCATATTAACATTATTATATGATATGATTTATATATGATATATTATATATATACATACATTATGATATAATATACCTAATTAAAATATAACAACTGAGTTCAATTGATGTCGCGTGTGCTATATTTGGCAAACCTACAATATTTTAATGGCTTATTGTTAGAAAAAAGGAACTGTCGATTTTGCTAGTCTGCTGGACAGATTTCATAATTCAACGCCATATCTGTCTCATGAACGTAAAATATTGTGTAGTTTGTACATATATTATCAGTTTAGGATATTTATTCATATTAAAATAATTCATTCGTTACAAAGTACGTATTGTAAGACTTGGATTCTCACCAGAAACATAGGTACTTTTCTCATATCAAAAACCTAATTAGTATGCCGTTTTTAATATTTGTATGAGTAATAAGTTCTATTTATGTCGTGGTAAGGAAGAATTGTTATTTATCAGTGAACATCCTTACTAAAAGAACCTTAATATTTCAAATATTATCTTATCAAATTTTGTAATTAAAACTTATATATAAAGTATTATAATCAAGGCAAGTATCAAGATGGACTTGTTATAGTGTACCTACTTTATAGCTTAGTGTGTATGATATTTATGCCATATATTAAGCCATAAACTTTACAAATAGTTTGTAAGAGTTTGTAAGAGCGGTATCAGAATGACGTTTATTTCTGCGCGTATACAGACGTTTCGGCATACGCGCGCTATATTACGCGCTTCAAAAAACCGGACTCGCTTACACGGGCAATTTTCGGCGAGTCCGCTCAAACCGGTAGTAGTGTATCTCGCGACTCGCGCTTATACGAGCTTAAAAGCGCATAGATGCTCGTACGAGTTGCGCTTTGGAAAAAGGTGCGCCTTTACGCGTCTACCACGCCAACATGCATTTCCAAAGACGAGCTTATACGCGCACATAAAAAACTGGTCGGAAAGTGCCCTAATATCATCGAACTTTTGTTAACTTTATGAACGTAAATTTGTCTGCTTACATCTCCTTATAACCAGCAAACTATAAATTGTATTTAAAGCCTAAAACTGAGAAAGCATTCTAGACACTACTATAATTTTGAACACTTCAATTATGCCTTTAATATGAGTTTTTTTTTGTTTTGCAACTAAATGTGAGCTGACAAGTCAGCATTCTTTAAAGTAACAAAAGTATTAAAATTTTATATATATTTTTTTTTTTATTATTAAGATATTAGGAATATAAAGTGAAATTAACTTAAATCACGTAACTGTTTACGCCAAAGACAGAAGTTGTCTCAATATATCGCTGTTGTTAAGTTGTTTTTGAAGAATTACAGTGATATATATATATATATTAATATGTTTAGTTGCCCGTTGTAATGTTAAATAAACAAACCAGCCTAGTCACTTAAAAAAAAATACACGTCTTATAAACTCGAATGATACTATAAATTAAAATTATAAATAAAACTAGTTTTTACGGGTTAATGCACGAAACTTTATTTATTTATTGACGTTTCGCAGCCTTTTCAGGCTGCTTCGTCGGAATGATTTTTTATTTAAGTAATTTTGTTAAAAAAAACATCCTGACGAAGCAGCCTGAAAAGGCTGCGAAACGTCAATAAATAAATAAAGCTTCGTGCATTAACCCTAAAAACTAGTTTTATTTAAAATTATAAAGTTGCACACTTGATCGCAAACTTTGATAATCTATACAAAGTTATCCTTTACCGAAAAGTTTTTAAATCAGTAGTGTTATTCTGCAAGTACCAACTCACTTTTCACCTCGGAATCCGCGGTGTGATTTAAACTTAGATCACGAATTTTAAATTACACCGACGAATTCCGCTGTGAAAAGTGAGTTTGTCCTTATCGAATAGCACAACAGTGAGAAATTTAACTGATTATTTTCCATTAGCAGAATGATATTTTTAGCGTTAATCACCAGACACCCATTAATTTATCCAAAACTTTCCATCTTCTTCAACTGACATTGACGTTACATAATACACAATCAATAGAGAAATGTTGAGTAGGTATCTAGTAGGCAGCTTGTTGTCTGGCAGATTTATTAATAACGTAGCGAACTGTTTACGCTAATCAACTATAAATCACCTTGTTAATTGGAATAATGTAGTGTTTCTTTGTCTTATTTTGTAGCACAATAATGAAACCTTTAGGTATGCAACGGTAGAACAAACAATAAACTATTTTGTTTTTCCCCTCCCTTGCGTGGGAGATGGGTGAAATATTCCGCATGGATACCCCACCGTCGGCTGCAGGGTAATGTCAGACTCTTAATGACTAAAAAACACCCGCAGTTGCTGCCTCTGGCCGGGATTTCCCTTAAGGCTTCATCGGATACGAGCATCCCCTGAGAAGGGGACGATGCAGCGCTGCCTGATAAAAAAACTAGTGTATATGCGCTTCTTTGAAGAGCGTCTCCCTTCCTTATTTAAATTTTGAACTAATTTTATACAGGTAGACCTTGCGTACATTAGCTTCTGGAGTTCCTGTATATGGTATATGGACTTTTCAAAGCTTAGTACGTTCTTTACACTAGCGGCCACCTGCGACTTCGCCGCGTCAACTTTAGTTTTTGAGAATCTCTCAGGCACCTCACCTTTTTGGGGGGTATAAAAAGTATCCTATGCCTGAATTCAGGTCATAATGTGAATATAAAGTTTCATCCAAATCCGGCATGCATCCAAAAACTACTGGTTTTTGCGTGATTGAGTAAAAAAGAGAAACATAAAAAAAAATCATCAATTTGATATTAGTAGGATATATTGTATTTTAACGACTGAGTGTGCAGCTATATGTTATTACTGTTTAGGGAATAAATAAATGGTAATGTTTAGGTACTATCGAGTACTAAGCAATTCAGCGATATTTTTACTAAGACTTTATTTCACTGTGTCATTGTATATTACACAATAGTGTCTCATTACTTTTATTATTATTTTTATTCATAAAAGTAAGACTGAGTAATTTTAACCATTGGGTTTATAATTTAAGTATTTAGTTAATATAAATGAGCATTTCGTTGATGAAGATTTTTGGCTGTTGAAATTTTGAGCCAGTTTGCTTAGTACTTAAAATGTATCACTTCTATTTAGGATAGTATGGTTGTTTGTATTTATTCTGGACTTCCTAATTAACCAATGATCATACAAGGAATACGAGAATTCACAAAAGTATATTTTTCCCTTTGATTTAATTTTGTAATATCAAAATGATGATCATGATTACGTACTTAGTTAAATGTTTCAGGTCATTCCGTTTCAGACCGTTAACCATTTCTTGCTTGCTTGATTTCGGTGCGGTATCGTTTCGTTTGCGAAAGTGACGGGACTGGCGAGTCCAAAGATTCGGAAGCACTCGTTAGCACTCGGAACAGAGAGGGATCTGTACAAAAGCGACTCAGTGGGGAAGCTTTCAGTTAATTATATGCACTCGCTAAAGAACCTGTACTGGTTCGGTACAGAAACGAAAACGAAACGAGCCCGCAGCGACCCGATGAGAAAGGCGCCTTATCGTGTTAATTATGACAACTTGTAATACAAATTTGACTTTAACCCCAAATAAGTACTTATATAATGGTAATTAGGAAGTCAATCAGAAAGTTGTGTTTAATAGTGCGAATGTTTTCATATGTTTTTTTAAAAAATCTACACAAATGGACGGTATTTTCAGGTACCTACACTCTGGTTTCACAGAACGAATTTAAGACTTCCATACGTAATGTTTTCTTGAGAATTATAACGAACATTGTAATTGAGTGAATCTTAATTGAAATATTTTGGAGGTGACTGCCGTTTAAGAAACATTGAATACCGTTCCAGAAAAAAAACTTTTTAATACTTATGCGTAGAGATTTTTTGACTGATTTACATTCATTGTAACGATTTAGTGATTAGAAAAGTCTTAGTGAATTAGGTAACTGTGTAATGTTTGTTTGTGTGGATGTTATGACAAATATAGAAGTAAATATGAAAGCTCTGTCCTATCCACAGGCTTAATGACATGATTTCCTTTTTAATTAATCATGAAAATTTATAATTTCTAAATTTGCTTATTAAAATTCTGTATCATCAAAACAATATAATCATGTCAAATTTTTGATAAAAATACATATTTTAAAATGTAGACTCAGCTAAAGACATAAGTTCCATATACCAAAAAAAAATCATTGTTTTGTTAACTCAAAAATAACGATGAGTTACAGGTGTGTATAAAATTGAAAATTACTTTCTATACCTACTTACTGTTGACCAAAGACCTACCACAAGCGATTATAGCAACATTGTTTTACAACAACAACAACACAACAGAAGTGATAACTTAAACTAATCTAAGCGGCACTGCGGGTAAGAGAGAGATAGGGGGAGCCTACCTACCGCTGCCGTATGCGAGAGAGGAAGGGAAGCCAGACAGACTGGCGCCATAACGCGTTACGTAACAAAGCGATAATTTCTTGTGGGAGGGTAAACTCCCACAAGAAATTATCACTTCAATAAAAAGATCCGTAATGAGTCGAAACAAAGTAGCCTGCTTATTCATTGTAATAAATTGGGAGTAAGAATAAAAACAAAGATGTTAAAGCGCATACGGTAAGGTCCCAAAATGTCGATATGTCTTCTTTTTAGTACATACCTATTTCACATATTTTTTTTGTAAAAATTTTTTCACAAGACGATTTCTTTTACCAATGCGTGTAATGTTAAAGCGCCTATGGTCAGGTCCCAAAAATGTCGATATGTCTCGTTTTTAGTAAATACCTGTTTCACATAATTTTTTTGTAAGTATTTTTTCACTAGACGATTTCTATTATCAATGCGTGTAATCAATATTTTGGTGACGATGCTATGAGTAAACAAAACTACAACAAAGATCAAAATAACAATACTTATTTTAGACCTGTAAACATATTCATATTCCATTATGCTTTACAACCTGTATATTATTATTATATTGGATAATTTGCTTATATTGTGACAAATAATACAGAAAATTACTGAAGCTCAAGAAATTTTACTTTAGAATTTATATGCCTTCTGATAAAGTAGCAGCTGATTGTTTGATGTTGATTTTCTCATGCTTACTTACATATATACTTTCAAACAAAGATTGAATTTAGCAATCAATTTAGCGTTTCAATAGAATTTCTGTAAATAGCATTATTTTAAAGCTTCTTACTTATTAATGTGAACCAATCTATAATATTCAGTCTATCCTCATAAAAATCTTTAATCCTCTCAGATTAAAATATAATACACACCTAACTACTAACCTCAATCACAATGAGCAAATAATTATGTAAATGTATTTACAACGATGACTTACAATCAATAGCCATACCCTTGGCTCGAACCAATATAGAATTCGAATAGTTTGCGAGTCCATAATGTCACTGTCAAAAGTGTACTGATTTTTAGTACTCGTTATGTCCGCTGTGGCGCTGCTGTTCAAGATTCCATACAAAATTTGACAATGACATTTCGGACTCGCAAACTATTCGAATACGATATTGGTTCCTGCTAGGGGTACCGAATTGGCAATTGGAATTGTAATTTTTCTATTGTTTCCTAATTTTTGTTTAAATTATACTCAACATTTATAAAGACGATGGATAAATGTTTTTATACGGTAAGAGCTTACATAAACGTATTAAGTACGTAATAAAATAGTAAATGTGTATCATTCGGTGTTTTCTTCCTTCCCTCAACACCTACTTATAATATTTAATAATAAAAATATATCCCACACCCACACCAATTAGCCTAGCCCCAAAGTAAGACTGTAAGGCTTGTGTTATGGGATACTAGGGTAACGGATAGATTACATATATTGTACATAAATATAAGTATATAAGTACAAATGCTCGAATTCATCACACAAACATCAGCCCCCACCGGGATACGAACTCGGGACCTCTCGAGTCGGCGACACCATGAAACCCGGGGTATAAACCTCTCGGCCACAGAGGTCGTCACTATGATAAAGTGTTAACTTCAAGTCTTGTAAAAGCATTGCAACGACTAATAAGTACTTACACAATACCACTATTGATTCTACTATAGATTTGCTGTTACTTTGTCAACATAAAACAAACGTTCCATAGATGAAAGTTCTATTAACTTTCGTTAAACTTTACATGTTATAACTGATTTCACTCTCTGAGTAGGTACTTTTTGTCTCGAAAATCTCTTCACCTGAGTAAATAAAGGCGATATTTATCGGATCATGGTTTTATTCTTTAAGAACAAACATATATAACTAACATTGATATACTCGTATTAACCAGGCCCCCTCGGACCAGCTTAAATGAAAAAAATATATTTAAAAACTAGATCAAAAAGTTAAATCCTCATCTCTTTTGAATTCAAATAGAAGACAAAGGATTAATGATGTGCTAAGCTGGATTAAACTTAAAATTTTATTCAGAATGTGGATGTATGTGACCTAAGATATTGACCTGAGGCGTGAGACAGGGAGATGTGATATCTCCGAAACTGTTCACATCTGCATTTGAGGATATTTTATTCTTCTTGATTGGAAAGGACGAGGCATTAAAATTAATGACGAGTAGCTGTCGCACCTTCGTTTCGCCGATGATGTAGTTCTTAAGGCTAAGACCTTGGAAGATCTTAACACGATGCTCGAAGATCTTAGTAGTGCTTCCCAAAAAGTGGGTCTTAAGATGAACATGGATAAGACGAAAATTATGACGAATGGCCACGTAGTACCCGTTTCAGTTAAAATTGGGAACACTACACTCGAAGTTGTCGGATCATTATGTTTACCTAAGACAGACAGTCCAGTTAGGTAAGTCCAACTTTGAGAAAGAGATCTCTCGTCGTATCCAGCTCGGATGAGCAGCGTTCGGGTAGCTACGGAAATTACCTTAATGTCTTAAGACAAAAGTCTTTGATCAGTGTGTGTTGCCTGTGATGACCTACGGAAGTGAGACGTGGTCCTTTACTGCGGGTCCCATAAGAAGGCTCAAGGTCTCACAGCGAGCAATGAAGCGAGCGATGCTCGGTGTTTCCCTACGCGATAGAATCAGAAATGAGGGAATCCGTAGGAGAATCAAAGTAACCGATATCATTCGAACGATTGCTCTGCTGAAGTGGCAGTGGGCAGGCCCCCTACAAGGGGGAGCGACGATCTTGTGAAGGTCGCGGGAAGCCGATGGACGCGAGTGGCGCAGGACCGATTGGTGTGGAGATCCTTGAGGGAGGCCTATGCTCAGCAGTGGGCGTCGTACGGCTGACACGATGCTTCTCTCTTTTCTTTTCTCTTTTTCCTCAGGTTAAAACATTTTCAAGGCGAACCGTAGTACCTACCTAAACCTAAAATGAAATTACTATAATATAATATATAATATAATATACACTAATTATTATATTTAAAACTAATTGACTGTAAAAATTATAGTCATTATTTGTTTTTTTTTTGGGGTGTGTATGCTGTTGGTCGCAGATGACCTTTACAGTGTCACCTGGTTTGGGGACGGCGAGATCCCAAGGGGACCTCAAGCCTAGAATTGGCGAGTGCCTCCAGGCGGATGGCAACTCCCCACGGAGGTAGTTTTCTCTCTGTCTGGAGCCTCTAAACCACTCGAACCTGAGGGGGTCGGCTCAAATAGAGGGCGTCCCTGAGACTCGGGCCTCGGCTCTAGTTAGCCGTTGTCATGGGGGGCGGCCATTCCTTGGTACTAAAGGAGCTCGATGGTGTAAGTTCAGTTAGCTTGTTCTGTCTGCGATCATGGCGGTTAAGTAACTGTCGTAAGATCGTTCTTTGGATGGGTGACTAAAAATGGATTATCTCGAACCAGGGCTTGGAATACCGTTAATTTGGTGAAGTTACTTTTGTTTGGCAAGGGAAAAAGAAAAACTCAGATAATAACGTTACACCAATTAACATTACTTCGGTAAAATAAAACTATTATCGTTACAAGTTTTTTTAACGTCTTATGGTAATGTTTATTTTGTGTCATTTTACCGGTAAGTATAGTTTATGTAACGGTTATTACCTATACTGGTAACGATATTTTATTGCGTTATATTTATACAATTGGAAAAAGAGACTGATGGTTCGTAACCGCTAGTGCTTGCTTCTATCTAAAGCTTTTAAGGTGGAGCCCGATGGCGCAGGTGATTAGCGCGTTAGGCTGCGATCGTTGGAGTTAAGCAACTTTAGCAGTGGTCGGTCATAGGATGCGTGACCAAAAATTTCTATCTCGAGTTACTCCGTGCTTCGGTAGGCACGTTAAGCCGTTTGTCCCGGTTGCATCTGCAGTCGTTAGCACCCGCCAATCCGCACTGGGCCCGCGTGGTGGGTCATGGCCCAATCTCCCTATTCCACCCATAGAGAAGGCCTTTGCCCCAGCAGTGGGGACATTAAGAGGCTGATGATGAAGGCTTCTAAGCAAGTTACAATTTATGACACATCAAAATACTAAGAGAAAATAACGTCCGAGAAGAACATAGAAACTTTAGGAGTAACATTATTATTAACGTTGCAGTATCGTTCAGTTATTTAATTGCCGTTAAATATTGACGTTATTATACGGTTACGGTAAAGTTCTATTACCTGTTTATCGTTAAAAATGTTACCGGTATCAAAATTATCATAATTAAATAACGTTGCATCTGCAGTCGTCAACATCCGCCAATCAGCACTCGGCCCGCGTGGTGGGTCATGGCCCAATCTCCCTATTCCATCCATAGGAAAGGCCTGTGCCCCAGCAGTGTGGACAATAATAGGCTGATAATGATGATGAAATAACGTTATTAAACGATTAAATGTGAAAAGGTTACGTCAACAGGCCCTGTCTCGAGCTCCTCCATGCTTCGGATGACACGTTATATAGTTGGTCCCGGCTGGATCTGCAGTCGTTAGCATTGGTATCCAAGAATCAGCATTGGGACTACGTGATGGAACTGGGACAGTTCTTCAAAGGCTACATTAAAATATTACTCGAATTGCAAATCATGCGGAAACGAGGGCATCATCACAAGTAACAAGTACTCGAATTGCAGAAACGTTGAACTGGGGTATTTATTTACAAGTAACGACACATATAGTGTAGTGAGATGAGTCTTATTAGGTATTGAAATAATTATTTTTCTGTGCTACAAAATTTCATGTAGTACTTATTGAATAGCACAATTCTACTGTTCTGCGGTGCAGTGCCAATATCCTACCAGCAACAAGACTATTGCTAACGGCCGTTGCTTTAACAGACGATGGGCCGGTGCCTTCTTGTCCTTCTTATCGATGCGTTGTTAGACAAAGACGAGAATATCGCAATGGCCCGCTAATGGGTTTTTAAAACAACGGCCCTCATCAAGAGTCCTCACTTCTCCTTACCTTATCACTCAAGTCAAGGCTCAAGTTGAAAGTTTCCCAATGAAATTGGAGCGTGAAGGCTCAAGTTGAAAATGTTCTACTCAAACTTGAGCGAAAGTAAGGTGGAGGTAGCTAGATGGCGCAGGTGGTTAGCGCGTTCAGCTGCGATGGTTGAAGTTAAGCAACTTTCTCAGTGGTCGGTCATTAGATGGGTGACCAAAAACTTCTATCTCGAGTTCCTCCGTGCTTCGGAAGGCACGTTAAGCCGTTGGTCCCGGCTGCATCTGCAGTCGTTAGCACCCGCCAATCTGCACTGGGTCCGCGTGGCGGGTCATGGCCCAATCTCCCTATTCCATCCATAGGGAAGGCCTGTGCCCCAGCAGTGGGGACATTAAGAGGCTGAAGGTGGACGTTGCCTTTTCTCATTTGAAATGCAAAAATAGCAATAAAAATCTAAATTTTCCTCTGTACACTGTGTCCACAATGACGTTAGAATTCTATCAACCTAAATTCAGCAAATAACTAATCATAAATTCCAGCGTCTACAAAATTTTACAGACACTGCATGCTTTAAATCTTTCTACCAAGTTACATATCGACAATGATAAAATTGCCAATTATGAGTTAACAGGATATCATATAACTCAAATAGACAACAAATAGAATCTGTGCGGAAAGAGAATGGGATATAGATTGGAGGGCGCTGTAGTGCTTTTCTACCGTATTTGTAAGGTTTTACCCCTTTGAGACATGATTAAATACAAAAAACCAAAAGAAATTACAACATCCGTATCAATACAAAACTTTGACGTTTTACAGATTGCTGGGTTTGACTGCCAAATAAAAATCTTAATGTTAGTTCCGTTTTTCGCCACGCCCATTCTCTTTCCGCACAGACACTAAAGACATTATATTAGCTAACGAGCATTTTCAATTGGTCTTTTTCTGCTTTTGAAAAGCAGAAATCACCGTCGCGCTGTTCATTTACTGTTTTGTAGGAAAGAATAGAAGGATTGAAAAGTAAGCATTCATTTGAATTTTAAAGAAGAATGCCTGATGTTGATTATAGTTTTACCAGATAAGGTCCTTATATTTTTATTGAACTAACCGTTCCTTTATCGTAACCAGTTACGAAACTACGGTTTCGTATTCAGCCGGAGGAGTGAAATCCTTTAGTCCAAAATCCCATCGCAGAATTCTGCAGCCATGTGTTTTTTTTATTGAAACTTAATTTAATTGAATGATTAGTGAGTATACAATGCATTAGTGACAGGTTGCCTAAAATATGTCGCAAATACCTTTCATTAATTTTAGTGACATCCATTTATTTATGTATTTTGCATCTA